GGTCTCCTTCTATTATAAAAGTAGACCCTGAGTATAGAAATAAATATGGTATGAAAACACTGAAAAGACCAATAAGAGAAGTAATCATTAACAATAAGAGAAACACTCTGTCTCTTTTCTGTCAATTCTTAGGAATATTTGATCATTCAGAAACTCCTGATGTTGATTCCTGATTCAAGGGCAGTACTTGGAAACTGATCAGTAAGATTCCCAATAAAGAGGAGGACTCATTTAGAACAGCAGTTCTCAAAGTATGGTCCATAGACCCTTGGGGATCCCCAAAATCATTTTAGGGAGTCCACTAGGTCAAAATTGCTGTAATAATAATAATAATATGTTATTTTCCTATTAAAATACTCCTCCCTTTTCCTACTGCATGTCTTGTGAGGCCAGATTTTCTTCATATTCCTAAACTAGAACAACATATTGCAAAAATTTGAATACAGAAGTGAATATGAGAATCCAGCTGTCTTCCATTAAGCCAGACATTAAAAAGATTTGCGTATTTGGAGAGCATAAGTAGCAACATGCTGGAAGCAGCCAGCATTGGCTCTCAAAGGCCAATTCTTAATTGTTCGATGTGAGCATTTACATGCTTCATATGAGGGTTAGATTTATTGTTTTGTTGATTTCTAGACTTTAAAAAGTGACAGAAAAAATGTTAATAATGCAGGTTAAACATAGCTTATGTATTGGGGAGAGCTGGTTGTTAAACATCTACTAGTACACCATGGAGTAAAAGTACTAGCTAAAGTATTGTGGGGGAGATGTTTCTCTACAGATGGATTCCTTGTCAGGATTCACCCTGACTAGAGTAGAGACTTTGAGAACAAGCTATTCAAGCAAATGTTGCCTTGGGGAGGAATAAATGCCTAAAAGTACACCTGGCCACCTCCAAGGACACTCATAGCCTGTGTATTTTAATCACAGAAATGGTATGAAGTATAATGGCCAGGAGCACTGGGGTCTGAGAAAGAATTTCTGAAATCGACACGGTGCATTTTCAGAGCATGTTTGCATTGCTACTGGACGGGAGCGGTAGGTTAATTTATAGCAGATTTACTGTTTGTACAAGGAACGTGCCTACCTGTTGATTTGTGATTTAGAGTCTCAGAAGATGGAGAGGATAAAAAGACTGTCTATTGCTTATCCCAATACATCCTCCAACTGAGAAATTACCTGACGGAAAACTTCCAGCTAGCTGACTTCAACTTAAAAGAGCTCTGCCGGAAATGAACAAGAGGATGGCACTCAAATTCATTGTCAAGAACTTCAGCAAGTTAGCAGGGCCTGATAAGACATTCTGGTCCCAAGGAAACAAACAGGAGAGAAGAAAAACCACATTATGCCAAGCAGTTGAGATATTGATCAGTCTGCCCCTTCGCATACTCTCTCTCCGTTCTGCCAAACTGGGCTATTTACCTTACTGTTCCTGGTACACAAAATTCTCATCTCCAGGCCTTTGCACAACTTGTCTTCCCCTTGCTGGAAATGCTCTCTTGCCTCAACACCAACTCTTGAAACCTCTCTGTCTCTGTCTCTCTGTCTTGGTCTCCGTCTGCCTCTGCATCTCTGTCTTTGTGTGTGTGTGTCTTTCTGTCTGTCTGTCGCCTCTCTTTGTGTGTGTGTGTCTCTCTCTCTCTCTCTCTCTCTCTCTCTCTCTCTCTCTCTCTCTCTCTCTCCCCCCTGTCTCTGTCTGTCTTTCTCTCTCTCTCTCTCTGTCTGTCTCTCCCCTCGCACCACCACAGTGGCATCATGCAGTTCAGCGCAGCCACCACCCCTCATTCAGGTGTCAACAGCAATAACTGTGAGTAGTTTCTCACATGCTTTTTCCATCTCTCAGGCCCTGTCACTCCTTCTCAGGCTCTAGCCCGCTGGAAAACTGCCAAATCTCTTCACTCACTTTTTCACTTTTGGTGAGATTTACGGCTCCCCCAACTTTCAAGATGAGGGAAGAGTGGATTACCTCTATTTTCCCCTGGGTCAGTCATTCTTGCTGCTCCCAGGGGCTTGCAGTAAAAGAAGGTACTACATCTCTTCTTCTACCAGCAGAAATTGGTCCTGATGATTTGCATCATTCCTATTCCCTGAATGAAAGGTGTCATGTCAGATGACAAGAGACCCCAGGTATGGGACCCTCACTGGTTCTAGAGGGCTGAGTCATGACTGCTTTGCTTATCCTCAGATCATTAGCAAGGGCATCTCTGCTGAAGGGCCCAACCTCCCCAGGCCTCACAGGGAATGGTTGGGGTCGGGGTGGGGGGGGGAGGTGGGGGGGGACACAGTTCTCTGCAAAACTATCATTTCAAAAATAAAACTAGGAGAAGGGGGTAGAATGTTCCTTAAAACTGAATGCTGGGAAAATTATTAAATGGGGAGGTAGATCTCATTGAAGGATTCCTGCTAGCAATGGAAGGTCAGAACTGAAAACCTAGAGATAAGGATCTTTAAAAGCTGCCAGGCTTACTGGAAACTAAATAGGTGAGAGGATTTTAAACGTCAGGTTTCAAACTTACTAAAGTAATTTCAAAATGGGCAAGCTGAGGCTTACCTGGCAGCCCCACCAGAGCTTCTTTGGGAATTGGACTAGGCCATCGACTTGGAATTTAAATAGCTATGGTTTAAGGGAGAAACGCTGTTAAATGACAAAGTTACACTTCGTAGTTAGTGACTGTGGAGAGTAAAGATAAGGAATCTCAAGGCTCCTACTAAGTTAAAAACCCTTCTGGCCCCTTTGCTGTTGAATGGTGCTGAATCTGAGGCTTCTCTGTTCTGTTTCCTCCCTTCTATCATTTCCCTCCCACAAAGACAGAGAAGCGGCTCTGCTCCCGTAGGGATGTCGATGGGTTTTCCCAGCCAAAGTCGTGGTGGGGAGCAGAGGATTCAAAAGCCAATAAGCCTGAGAGGAAGAGAATTGTGCAAACCTAAAGCTAATGCAGAATAGCAGGGGTCTCCTCCCACCCCTCATCTTCCATACCCTCTCATCCTCTTCTTCCTCAAGCCTATGCTGGCCATTCATTCCTTCAATCAATCGAGTGTGTATTGGGCAGGGACCACGCCTTATGGACTCTGCAAAGCATTTGGGAGCTGCTGATTGGCTTATGTTTCTAGAATGTATCACTTTGCTAATGATAGCCCTGTGAGGCAAGTAACATAAGTATTATTAAATCAATTTTAAAGATGTGAAAACTGAGGTTTAGAGAAATTAGGTCTTGCCCGTAATCACACAGTGAGTAAATATCAGAGAGGGGACCTGGATCCCCATCTTCCAACTCCAGCCCCAGGGCTCTTTCCACTGTACCCTGTTGCCTCTAGTTTGCAATCTGGCCGGAAGGACAGGGTGAATGTGCATGGAGCAATGATGTACAAGACAATATGTAACATGAAGTTGTATGGACTGACAATCGATGCTATAGGAATTCAGAGCAGGGGAAATCATTCACTGTCCGTTTGAGTAGTCCTAGAAGACCTGAAGGAAGAAATGAGACTTGAAGTGTACCTTGAAATGTGTGTGTTTGTGAAGGTGTGTGTGCAGATGTGTATGCATGTGTACAGCTAGGTAGCCCAGTGGATAGAGTACTGGGCCTGCAGTCAGGAAGACCTGAGTTCAAATCCAGCCTCACATACTTACTAACAGTGTGACCCTGGGCAAGTCATTTAACTTCTATTTGTCCTAGTCCACTGGGAAAGGAAATGGCAAACCACTCCAGTATCTCTTCCAAGAAAACCTCAAATGGGGTCACAAAGAGTTGGACATGATGAAAAATGACTAAACAATAACAAATTCCTAAAGAACTCTAGGAAACATTTGGGGTGGAAAGGAGGGGACTATGGGTTCCATGTAAATAAAAAAAAAATTCAAAAGGACAGAAACTTCTTGGTCTGGAGGTTTATTTTGAATTATTTAGTCCATTTATACCTTTATATGTTAATACCTTCATGCTAGTCAATGATTAGAAAGCTAGTGTGTTCAGGAAGGACTATCACCTCTGGCGTGATGGTTTGCCAAGCCCTTTTCAGGGCTGCTCTTTGGACACCAAAGGTGTCCAACTGATTCACCTAACTCTCACCTGTGGTTCCAAAATAGATGTAGCATGTTCAGCAACAATACCCTGTAGAACTGGCTAAACCAGGTTGAGGGTAATTGATAGGCCTCCAACCTATCAGTGAGTTGGGGAATGTCTACCCCAAGCACGTGAAGTCTTTCCCCGGTGAATAGGAAGATGAGTCCAATTTGTTCCAATGGCCATGAAGGTGGCTGAAACAGATTCTGTGGAGCACATAGAGCTTGCTCAGCCATCGAAGACTTGAAGGCTGTCTACCGCATCCCGGGCCATCATCAGTCATCCTGACTTTTGTTTTGCCACTGACCTGAAAGAGAGAATAAAACTGATTACTTTGTGCAACTCTATCTCTCTTAAATCCAATTGACTCTCAAGTCAACACACCACTCTGTGATGTCATTCATCCTCTTTGAAAATGAAGGAAGAATGGGGCAGCTAGGTGGTGCAGTGGATAGAGCACCAGCCCTGAAGTCAGGAGGACCTGAGTTCAAATCCAGTCTCAGACCAAACACTTGATACTTACTAGCTGTGTGACCCTGGGCAAGGCACTTAATCCTAATTGCCTAAAAACAAAACAAAAAACCACACAAATATTTTCTGTAGCTGTTTATAAATAAAACTGTTTTATTTAGTGAGCCCTGTATACCTAAGTGCTTTTTAACACTTTCCTGACCCTTTCAAGGATGATTCCTCCCTTAACGCTACACTAAAAGTACTTCGTATTTCTTTTCTCTATATTTTTTCTATTCTTACATACACAAATGTTGTCATTTCCCTTCCCTTCCCTCAACAGAATGTAAGCTCCTTGCAAACAGAGGCTATTTCCTTTCTGTTTTTAAGTTCTCAGTGCCTAGCATATTAGGCATTTAATAAATGCTTGTTGATTGAATTAGTGACTGTAAAGAAGAATTCTGCTATGGAATATAATGTGCACAAGTCTGCCTGTTCCCTTTTTGTATAACCATCATGGATGCCCTTGATAGGTATGTGGATAATTCTGTAAATATTTTGTAGAATAAGGAAAATAGACACATGGATCAGGTGTTATCGATGTTTTCTTATTGCTTTTTTCCTCAGTAGCAATAACTTGATTTTTTTATGTGTCTGGTTTCCTCCCCTCTTTTAGTTAGCTAAAAGGAGCTGTCCTCCCCTTGTTTTAATGCCTCAATACTGTCAAAATAGTGTCATCTCCTACACAAACCTCCTCTGTGCATACTTGAGCCAATCCAGCTGTTCTTGTCTTCATTTAGTGCCATTTTTACTTGCTGATGCAGGACATCTGGACTGACAGTAGAGATCAAATGTGATGACTCTGCTGCCCTTGATAGAGAAAAAAAGTTTGTTATAATGATCTTGACAGATTTTTTCCATTTTTCATCTATTTATTGCCCTAGTTTCATCCTTAAATGCTTAGACTTATTTGAGTTTCTTGCCAAATTTCCCACAAACTTGCTTTTTCTTCCATCACTTCTAACTATTTTACGAAATAATTCTTATCACCATTTTTTCACCATCCTCTTCCATAAGTTTTAAAAATGAGTGCATATTCCAAATCTAAACCAATATTACCCATGACTAACATACCTCTGCTTGGCAAAGGAGATCAATTATTTGCTAGTTTCTAGATTCTTTTTGTTTCTTTGTTATAGTGACTACTTTAAATCAGTTAAGTTTCCTTAAGAATTAATGATAGTCTTTATCAATGCCAATTTTGAACCATTTCCCATTTTTCAGTATTAGTGGGTCATTTAAATGTGTCAAGTTGGAGTTGTTTTAATGATATCTTCTCATTTTTATTCTTCTAATTTGGTATTGATTTTGGTTTCTGCTCTGCAACAAGGGTTCTTAACCAGGTTCTGTAGATAGATTTCAGGGGGTCCTTGAACTTGAATGGGAAAAAAATCTTATCTTTATTTCAACATAATTGGTTTCTTTTGTATTTCTTTTATGTATTTATTTCTGCTGTATTTATTTTATTCATTTAAAAACATTATTCTTAGGTCCACAGGCTTTACTGGCTGCCAAAGGGGTCCATGACTCAAAAAAAGGGTTAAGAACCTCTGTCCAGTCTGACTATGCAGAGCTGATTTGGAAATAACTCCTTTATCAGTGACCAGTTATTCCTTCTCTTAAGATAGAATCAGTTTCATTTTTTATGATGTTATTCTGTTTCCCATGGCCAGACTCTCTCACTCCTCCAAATTAAATGAACATGTACTTAATTACTTGATGAGGGACGGTTAGGTGGTACAGCAGACAAGAGCACTAGGCCTGCAGTCAGGAAGACTCCTCTTCCTGAGTCTCAGACACTTAATTAGCTGTGTGACCCTGGGTAAGTCACTTAACCCTGTTTGCCTCAGTTTCCTTTTCTGAAAAATGAGCTAGAGAAGGAAATGGCAAACCATTCCAGTACCTTTGCCAATACCAAGGGAGGTCACAAAGAGTCAGACATGATTGAAATGACTAAACAATGACAATTACTTAATGACTTCACTAGAAAGTGAGTAGAGGGAAGGATGATTAAAAAAAAAATAGATCAGAAAATATGAATGAGAAATGCAGGACACCAAAGACTTATAGACCATGTAAGACTTGCAGCTTCCCTCATGTATGGATACACATTGTGAGGTCAGCATCCTCAAAACCACATCACATGAGCTTCCATTGACACGTTTCTTTCATCAGTCAACAAGAGGACACATTAGTTTAAAGTAAAAGAAGTTTAATATCCTGGCAAAACCAGTGATAAGAAAGCTCCCCCTGCCCCATATACATAAGAAAGAAGCATGCGTTAAATGCCTTCTAAGTTCTAGGCACTATGCTAAGTACTTTACAAATATTATCTCATTTATTTCTCACAGCCACCCTGGAGGGAGGTAATATTATTATCATCCCCATTTTACAGTTGAGGAAACTGAGGCAGATAAAGGTTAAGTGACTTGCCCAGGGCCACACAGCTTATAAGTGTCTAAGGCTGAATTTGAACTCAGGTCTTCCTGACTCTAGACCCAGCGCTCTACGCACTGGGCAATCTAGCTGCATGGAGGTATATACATAGAAGTACACTCACAGGTCACCACACCACCAGTGGGAGAGAGTGATCCCTCTCAGAGCAGGTATTGCCAAGAAAACACATGGTCAGGCAACACATACATAGAAAGGCATACCCAGAGGGAGCAGACATGGCCGGGGGGATGTGCTGTTCTAAGTTTGAGTAGCTAGTTTCAAGGACTGGCAGGAGAACCAGCCTCTGCTATCCATTCCCCAGCACTTAGTAGCAAATGATCTTGAAACGGAGAGTTAAGTGGCAGGTATGGCTTCTACGCTACTAAAAAGGGCGAGTAAAATCAATGCACAACTCATGTATATTGCAGGGGGATTTGTCAAAGGTTTTCATAAGCAGCTAGATCTCAGACAGAGAGTACAGGAAACATGAAGACATCCAGGGTCTCCTTAGCACTTGCAGGTGAGGGATAGGTTCCTCTGGGCTTCTAGAGTTCCCGGTCCTCTGAAAACCATCAACATACTGATGACAAGCACCAGCATCCATGTGAGGGTTGCAGAATGAATTATTGGCAACAGTGCAATTTGAAGCTGGGTTTGTTCTTTCTTATATAGAGAAGAACTTTCTCTCTCGAGCCATTTACTGGTAGTCCCATTTTTCAATCAGTCTTAAAGATTTGGAAACACTAATTGGCCAAGGCAAATGTGGCTGAGCTCATGGAGAGCCTGTTTTAAACTCGCGATTGCTCTTTTAGATGACTTGACCTTGGCAAACATTCGAGACCTTCATGGCCTCAAATGCAGGTATATGTTACCCAGGGGAGACGTTTATGATCATCAGTTTCTCATAATTGACTCAAATATTGAATATTCAGTGACCTTTAACCTTCATTTTAGGAAGGTACCCAGTCCATCTATCTCTTCATTTCCCACAAGGCTACACTCCTACGGACTTCTCCATCATGCTTCAGAAACCTCTACATCCTAGAAGATAACTTCATCCCTGGAACTCTGAGGTACTCTCTGTCCCCAGGTCCCTTCCTCTGATTGGAAGATGGAAGGCTCCTCCCAGAACCTCCATTTAAGGAGGGCATCCAGGCCAGCCATCTCTTCATTTCCCACAAGAATGCACTCCTATGGACTTCTCCATCATGCCCTCTTGCTCAGATACCTTTCCTCTCCATCCCCCTTTTAGCTTCCTTTTGTCGTGTGGTCTTTCCCATTAGAATGTAAGCTCTACAAGGACAGGGATTGTCTTCCTTTGCTTGTATTTGTATTCTCAGTACCTAGCACAGTGCCTGGCACATAGTAAGCACTTGTTAACTCAATGACTGACTTTGGGAAGTGATAGTTATCTCAGGGTGGATGGCCTGCCTATATTAGACATTAATAAGTACGCTGAAATAATCTTAGAAGCTACAGTTATTTTACAAAGAATGTCAATGTTGATATGATTCTGTTCCTCCAATCATATTTGGACTCATTTTTTCACCAAAGATCTCACATTTAGGGTACCAAAGTTGTTAATATTTACAAATGATCTAAAATCTGCAATTTTTAGCACCTTTTCCCCTATTTTGACCATTCTGCCACCATAACTAATGACAGAGGTGGATTGAGGGCCATTTTAATGGGTTGCCATGGCCAAAAGTATGGTATGGTACAATGGGAAAAAATAGCAGTACTGAGGGTAGAGGACTTGCATTTAAACCACATCTGACTGCCAATGTGACCTTGGGTAAGTTGCTTAACTTTCCTTGGCCTTTCCTCGTCTATTAAAAAAGAGGGTTGTATTAAATGGTCTTTGAGGTCCCTTTAAGTTCCAGATTCGTAGTCCTGTAATTCATCACTAAGTAGCCAGCCGATAGGTGATGTGCCTCTCCATATGTACGGCAGCTATGCTGGTCCTCAGAAATCAGTCTTGGTCTGTTCCGGGAACCATCTTTGAAGACTTTTCATCGCGGTAGAACATACCCAAATTCGTGCCCTGCTGGCATAGCCTTTGAAATGCAGCGTCCTCTCCGCACAATGATTAACAATCAGAATAGGACTTGGTGGAGGTGATACAGTAAATAACCATACGGTGTGATAAGGTGAACAAAAAAGTGAGTGTGATCTTGGGCTATGTTTGACAAGGCATGGCATCCACAGAAAGTGACATGATGATCCCATTGGCCTTGCCTTGGCCATACTCTAGCTAGAGTATAGTGTTTAGTCCTAGCTACCGTATTTTAGCAAGGATATTGATAAGCCAGAGAGTATCCAGAGAGGAATGGGGTAGGGAGCAGCCAGGTGGTGTAGTGGACAGAGCACTAGGCTTGGAATCAGGAAGATTCATCTTCCTGAGTTCAAATCTAGCCTTAGACACATACTAGCTGTGTGACCCTGAGCAAGTCACTTCACCCTGTTTGCCTCAGTTTCCTCATCTGTCAAATGAGTTGGAGAAGGAAATGGGAGAGAGATTAAACTGCTTCTGCTTAGCCATAAAAGGCAGAACAGGGAATAGTATATGGAAGCCTTACCAAAGCAGATTTAGACTTGATGTAAGAGAAAATTTCCCAATGATTAAAACTATCTAAATGGAGACCTGGATGCCTTGGAGCCTGTTTTTGCCTTAGAGCAGGTTCTTTCTCCCCAGAAGTCTTTCAAGCAAAGCCTGGAGGACCGCTTGTTTGAAGAGAAAATTCATGACATACGGGCATAGGTTGGATTCTTCTCTTCCAGCTCTGATATCCCATTCTTCTGAATCAGGAAATTTGGTTTCTCATTTCTGCTTTTTGGTAACAATAGTCAGTCAACAAACATTGTTACATGCTTGCTGTGTGCTGGCCACTTTGCTAAGCAATAACCTTGAGCAAATCACTTACCCGCTCTCAGCCTCAGTTACTCCATCTGTATAATAAAGGGGTTCCACTTCTGAGGTTTCTTCCGGCTCTAACACTGCAACATTGCCGGGACAAACCCATGGCCTATGTCTCCC